CCTGCTCGGCCACCATCCTCCCGCCCCGGTCTTTGGACCGCTTCTCACCTGAAAGACTTTTGGGGCTGAGACAAGGCAGGCCAGTGCCGAGGACAGGGTAGCACCAAAGATCCCAGCTGTGATGAGGGGGCCGAACCCGGACACCATGCTCATGCTCTAGCGGAAAAGCAGGCGGTCAGACCTCCGGGGCGCCCCAACACGTCAGCCCCAGGAGCCTTCCTGCCCAGCTGGCCCCGCTCCATGTCCCCGGCACTACCTGGTAGTAGTTGCTGAGTCCGTAGCGGCAGCTCTGCTTCTGGGCGCACTCGGTGAAGTTCCACCCGAGGCCGCACGCCAGCCCCTCGCAGCCCAGCGAGCCGGCGCCCGTGGTGTCGTTGAGGCTCCGGAGGCGTCGCGGACCACGCAGGCGCCTGCCAGAGCACAGCCCTGTTCACTCCCCCTCTCCCTCCCGTCCTGGGGGTCGCACAGGCCGTGTGCGGAGTCGAACTGGGGACGGCTTCTTGGTGCCTTGGCCCTATTGGGCTGGGGCTGCTGTCTGTAGGTTTGTGCAACCCAGACCCAAGTTCCTACAAAGCTTTTGCTTCCCTAGTCCCTTCAATTCCCACTGTGGGGCAGAATTCCCTTATGCAGGAGACTTGACCAAGGAGCTGCAACAAAGTCACCAATCATTGGCAAAACACTCTGTTTTGCCACTCGGAAGATTTTTCTCATTGAAACCTATCAGGAACCAGCGCAAGCATCTGCAAGCACTCGGATCAGAGTATTGATCCTCATTTATACAGCTTACTCCCAGCTCCCACGGACCATATCCATCCCCTGCACCCCGCCACGCTTCCCGTGCCCGTGCATGTCCTTGGGATTGGCACCCAGCTCACCCTGTGGCACGCCACTTACCAATCGTAGCAGAAATCACCAGGTAGGACACCGTGGTCCAGAATATAGCCATCAGGGTGCCTTTGGGAATGGCCACAGCGGGATCCTGCCACAGGGAATTGCAAGGATTTATAAAACAGCTTTCCTGTTGTTTCCTGTAACCAAGTCGCACTTAATTTTGGCTGCTTTGTGAAAGGAGCTATAACTCTCTGCAACAAAAGGCCGCAGGGCAGCTCTTGGCCTAGCAGGGTGCAGATTACCAAGGTTTGTCTGTGCATTTTCCCATCAGCTCTAGGGTCTGCCCCTAGGCTCCCTTCCCCTAGAAATGCCCGCTCATGTAGGAACGGTCAAGACGTACCTTTAAATCACCTGAAATGTTGGCTCCCGCCAAGATGCCAGTTGCTGATGGAAAGAAAATAGAAAACAAACCGAAGAAGGTGCCGTCAGGTCCACGCCAGTTGGGCACAAAGTTCTGGGCAAAAATGTCAGCTGGGGGAGAAGCAGAGAAGAAGCATTTCCATTTAATTCTTCAGATCAGGGTCTTCCCATCTGCTTTTCTCATTTTAAGCATGTGGGCTTTGGTTTGCTGTTTCCATCCTCTGACTGCGACGGGGGCATGTGGGAGGAGAGATGGGCACTGATATAACACATAATGCCTGCCTGCAGGGCTCGAGCCAGGAAAGCAGCCTCATTTAGGATTACTTCAAAAACAAAATACAGTGTGATTCAGTTTGAAGAGGAGCATCTCATTGCCTAAATGAGCACTGCCAGAGATCCATCAGCTCTCACAGTGGATAAGCACTTTTCCATAGTAATTTTCTCCCAAAAGGCTTCAGCTCTTTGCTTTGATCTTCTGCTGTGTCTAGTATCATTGCAACACAGGGCAGACTCACCTCTGTAGCTGAAGAAACCCTTTGCTTGCTTCTCTGCCGTGGCTGGGATCACCGTCCCCACTAGGTAGTTTATGAAGGAAACCAAGATGACCAGGAAGAACAAGACCTGAGCCTGAGAGATCAGAAAGATTCAGAGGATCAGCTTTTTGGATATGAGGCCACTGCAAATGCTAGCGAGAGTGATAAACCATGAGAAGAAATCCCAGTGCATGCTCGGGCATCTGGTGAGAGCCACGAACACAGCATCATTGAGTCTTCTGACCTCTCAGGCTGCCACGGTGCTCTGCCACTCCAGCGAGCTGGTGTTAAGGTCCCCTCTTTCCCCCTACCTCGGAGCAGGGGCAGGCTTTGGGGCTCCCCCCATTCCCCTTCTCGCCTTTTGGTGATCCTAGAGCAGCATCTCCACTGAGTATCTTGAGAAATGTAGGAATTGGGAGCAATCCCCTGACTGCAAGAGCTTCTCGTGTTCTTTGTGGCAGACAGACAGGGCTCTGCCAAGTATTGAAACAAGTGGCAGCAGCCTATACACCAGCCAAAATCTTCTCTGCAGCCTTTGGGAACCAGCTTGGGTTCATCCTGAGAAATGAGCATTACCTTGGCCTCCCACTCCATCCCCGCCAACGAAATGCCGAGCAGCACGGTGACCGTGATGACCCCGATGATGCGGATGTCATTGGTGGGGTCTACGATGAGAGAGTTATATTCCTGAGAAGGGAAGCACACATCAGTCTCCTCTGGGGATCAGTTTCCTGCCTGGAACACAGCCTGCCACCACCATGAACCTTCTCCAGACTTTTAGCTAATACGTACAGAAAACATGTTAAAGCGGGAGCACAAAGCCACCCTGCTTTTGTTCTAGCATGCCAGAAGCATTTCCAGAGAGAAGCACTTTAAACCCGCTTTGGGCAGCAGTCCTCCAGATTTCTGTGCTATGGTGTCACACTGTGGCCTCTGGCCACACTGGTGCTTCAGCCAGGAAGGCACCTTGCAGCTCCTCTCAGCTGTCAGGGGGCTCTGAGCGCTACCCAGATCAGAGTTTGTCAAGTGGTGAATGCTCGCCCAGGGGTACAGCTCTTGAAGGAGTCATTTCCAAAAACACTAGTGAAAAGAAATGTCAAGAATAAAAATACCAACTCTAATTTCCAAAGGAAAGGACATATTATAGCAATTAGCTGTGAGGTTGGAACAGGGGAGATGCCTTATGTAACCACCAAGGATTTCCACCAGTTTCAGTTGCCGATGGCTGATGAGCAGCATTCCAGCATTAACACAACTATCAATAACTAACTCAGCTACTCCCTTGTGTTGGCTCTGTGAGGGGCAAGCACCCAGCAACCTTGCACCTCACTGCATCCCACAAAGAGAGATGCAGGAGGGTGAGTTTGCAACAACACAGGAGCTGGTTATGAAGGGCCTGGCGACCGCGAGGTGCTGTGGATGGGGTCTCCAAGGCACACCACATTTCGTACCTGCAGCAGATCACGGACCGTCTCTGCAAAGCCCACCGTGTGCATGGCCACCGCTACCGCGTTTGCAAAGGCAAAAATCAGACCAATAGAACCTCCCAGCTCTGGTCCGAGGCTTCTTGAGATAAGGAAGTAGGTGCCCCCTAGTGCAGTGGAAATGCCTTGTGAAATCAGCAGCTTCCTCTCCTCCTTGCGCATCCCTGTCTCTTCCCCCCCACCCCTTACTCGAAGCATCTGACTCTTGGTCATGATAGATATAAGAGGAACCAAGAGGTTTTTACCAACGAATAAGAGGTTTTTCGGAGCAAAAGAACTTCATCTCTACCACCCGAGTTACTTGCTTAGCCTTCAATTTTTGGGCTACTTCTCATTTCAGCTGTGTCTTTCTGTGATATTTCCATACCCAAGCCAAAGTGCAGAGACCCAAACTACACAGAATGTGACAACACTGCTGGCAAAGGTAGGATAAAATCTCTCCCTCTGTATTTCATTATGAGGGTGCCTCAAGGAGGGAATGAACAGAGCTCCTCAGGCAAGGTGCTCTAGCCATCAACGTGCAAGGAGTCTGCGTCAACAGAAGCTGTAACGTAACAGCCATAAAGGAATGCTTTAGTGAGACTGAATCTCCATGGAGCAGAAGGGCAATCACTTGTGGTCCTGAGGTGTCTGTTATATGCGAGCCCAACCCTTACATTGCACCATGTGTGGGGACGTTCGTGGCCATGGGGCAACTTGAGGCTGAAGGCCTGCTAACCCAGGCAGGAGGGTAAGGAGAGCCTCCCCCTGTGGGGTGGTTGAGGCTTATAGGTGGGGGGCAGTTCCCAAGGCTCCCCAGACATGCAGCAGGACACGAGGGCAGACCGTGAGGTGGGAGGACATTACCTGATTTCACTTTGCCGTTGGTGGATATGGCAGAGATGGACAAGCCGGTGATGGTGGTCACTGTCACGGACATCAGGATGATCAGCCACGTGAGCGCTGCAGCAGGGAGAGACGGGCTCTGCGCTGGCACCTCCAGCTTGTCCCCAGTGTGCACGACCCCAGGGTACCTTCACAGCCTCTAAACACTGTTTCTCGTCCCTGCTCCTGACCTGTGCTTAATGCTACCAATACCTCCACTCCCACCGCCTTATATCCCACGTGCTTTGGGCCATACAGACAGTAAAGGCCGAGCCTGCACTAAGCAGTACTGTGAGAGCAGAGAAGTACCCACCGATTCCTGCCTGGGCCGTGATCCAGGGCAAGCGCAGGTAGAGAATCACTCCCCAGATGTTCAGCATACAGCGAATCTGGAGCAGGCACAGAGAAGGACCACATCCCATGAGCACGGGCGCTGCAGCCTGAGCAGCGGGAACAGGCACTTGAGGACTCGGAGAGCCACGTTAGACCCCCGGTCTACCAGTAAAGGTGGCTCCAGAGCCTTGGAGTTAAAGATGACCCATAAAGTCAGTAAAATAATATAGATGCTTGCAAAACATATATACACATACTTATACATATATATATATACACACATGAAAAAAATTCAAGACATACTGGCCAGGTTGCTGCCATAGAGGATTGGACTGGGTTCCAGGGGAGGAACAGCAGGATGGGGGCAGAAGACAGGCCCTGGGGTGGTGCCGTGGAGGGGCCGCGCTCCTGGCCGGGATGGCACTCACCATCACACCCTTGACCCACCCAAAGCGGACGGGCTCTGGCGGCGATGCCTTGGGGCCCTCGGGTGCCCCCTCCTCGGGCACACTGTCCGTCAGGCCGTTGCTCCGCTGAGGCTCGTCCGCGGCCTGGGGGCGGTGGCCAGTGTCGGTCTGTGGAGGCAAAGGGAAGGCAGGGAGGGCTGCGGCCTGTGCCAGGGCCATGCACCCGAGCGGGACCCCGTTACCTTCAGGATGGAGTGCAGGTCAGCCAGTGAGGGCCGGCCCTGCGCGCCGCCCGCCACCCCGCTCTCGGCGTAGTGCTCATATGCAGGCACCACATCCACTGTGTTGTAGCCGAAGGTCCTGGTGCAGAGTGGGCTGCCCGAGAGCTGCGTGGGCTGGGCACTGTCCAGTGCAGTGGCCTCAGCACCCCCGTAGTGCGCTCGGCTACCCTCCTCGGCGCCCATGAGGGTGCTGATAGTGAACCTGCCACTGCAGCGAGCCGGGGCGGCGGGCAGCTCCGGCAGCTCCGCCATGTCGCCTCACAGGGCGCTGCCGTCGCCACAGCGCAGGCAGCAGCTGAGGGGCACCAGTTTTATAGCTGGTAAGAGCAGGAGCCTCCCCCATGGCCCCTGCGGGGTGAGCGGCATTGCCAACGGCGGGGAGCAGCTTGAACCACCCCAAGCTGGACAGCAGGGAAAAATAGCCAGCGGGGGTGTCCAAACAGCAGCGGTCACAGCGCCGGTGTGCGATGGAGGCGGCGATAACAGATGGGAGATTAGGTGGCAAGGACAGAGCAGCACGGAAAGGCGGCATGAAGCTTGCCTCCGGCCCCTGCCAGGGAACATGCTGTTCCCAGCAGGATTTATTATGGAAAACAAGGGCGCTGCTGCCCCCTGCACATGCCCTGCCCTGCAGGGTCGCCCCAGACTCCATGTGGGAGGCAGACACTGTGCCAGCATCTCCCTGGCAAAGGGCTGGGGAAGGAGGGGGCAGGAAAGAACTGAGGGAGGAGCGCAGGTGCAGGGGCTGCGGAGCAATAGGCAGGCGGGTGGCACCTCTCAGTGAGGAGAGGGAACCAGGGGGAGCAGTGTCACAGGTGCATTAAGAGCAGTTAGCGATAAGATCGCTGAGGACAGCAAGCAAGGAGCAATAAAATATGGGGGCAGCGCCGGGGCCCATGAGGACTGCGGCCCTGTGTGTTTTGCCAGTTAATGGAAAATCAAACACACTCGTGCCGCTGCCTCTGGCCCTGTCTCGCCTTCACCCAGCAGTTCCCACTGCGCCGCCTGGCCTCCCCGCTGTGACCCTTGCCGGGGCACTCGTACTTGCTTACCCGGGAACCTGAGGACAGCCCTGCCACTGCCATGCACTCACCACTTCTCCTTGCCAACATGATTAAAGGTAGATGCAATCAAGACTCAGCCAAGATCACCTGGTTTCCAGCAAAAATCACTTTTTCTGCTACTGAGAAACTTGTAACTCACCTGTTCAAGGCCTAAGCTCTGCCACGCGCTCTGCTCTCTGGTCCCAGCCCAACAAAGCATTTCAGCATGTGCAGGTCGTGCGGCACCGAGCACCCCCGGCGCCGGGAGGGCGGCAGCTGCCTCACCAGCTGCCCGGAACCCGCAGTGGAAAGGGGAGCTAGAGCACAGAACACGCCTCATCGCCCCTCCGCTTCACCCTGCTGCCGACGAGAACCCAATATGCGGTATTCTGGCGTCTGGCAGGGATTCGCTCCTCCTGCAAGGTGGATGTCAACTTCCATCGAAAGCCAGAGAAACAGCAGCGGACGCATATCCAGTAGGAATGGGTTTATTTTATAATCTCATTATTTAATACAAAAAAAAAAAAAAGCCATTAACTTCCCCAAGGCAGCAGCAATCACGGGGCTCTCTGCTGAACACCGCCAAAGCCGCTCCAGGAGAGACACGGAGACTCCAGGCGCCGGGCGCAGAGCGAAGCAAGTGGTATGATGCAACCCTGGTGTAGTGAAATAGCCGGATAGTAGGAAGCGCTTGTCGTCGGCCTGATTCACAACACCAGCTGCAGCAACGATACCGGGGCTGTCCCACGCTGCCAGCGCCGTGGTGGGAGCTGCGAGCAGAGACGAGGGTTCATGCAGCAGCAGTGCAGCCCCCTCGGCTCCTTCACCTTTGGCCTGTCTTCAAGTCACCCTTCTGCCTCGCTGCCAGGTAGCTGTCAGACCAGCGCAGTTCAGTGCCTCTCAGCAGGGGGGCCAAGCACCGTGTCCGGCAGAAAAAGCTTCTATTCAGCCAGCTAAGAGGTGCCAATAAACCTTCCTGGCAGGGCTTTCGCTGGCTCCCTGCCACTCCCTCCCTCAGCCCATTATCAATATTAAATGGGTCAAATGAACCTTAGTCTAGCTTTACAGAAGGCTCATTTCACAGTTTGCCAAGGCACTGTATTCCTACAAGCCTTTAATGAAGTTCTAATAGACGTGTTTCCATCTCAGAGAGGGAACCTACCGCCCAGCACGGCAGTGCCCCAGATCGCGAGGGCCATGGGAACAGCGTGGGGTGAGGCATGGCACAGGGCAGGATGCTGCAGGGGCCTGGTGAGAGAAAGCACACAGTCATTCAAGCAGAGGGATCAATTCCCAGCCTCTTCTACACAACTTTTCCATGTCGTCCTTCCTTACTTCCAAGTCATACAGAAACAGGATGAGAATACTGGTGTAAGGATACGAATGGCAGCAGTATTTGAGCACTGTCCACTCCCCACGAACATACAGGAATACCTGCTCACTCATTCACCCAGAGACACATAATACCTACTTTGCTCCAACAGCAGGACACTCACCAGCCAGGAATCCAAGGGGGCAGAACCAGGTTGTTCTTCCCTCAGGAATAAACGTATAAAACCCTGGGAGCTTGGGAGAAAGCAGAGACATCTGGAAAGCCCGGGCTGCCTTGCTCCATGATGTACCAGGACGTGCACCAACATCTCCCTTGATGCAGCCAAGCCCTTAAAGCTGGGCAGGGAAGAGAGAAGTTTGCTGGATCCCAGCCCAATGCAGAGCTGGAGCCCACTACACTCATCACCTGCATGGATGTGAGAAGAAATCACAGAAACATCAATGGGAAACAGATCCAACTCTCCATGGAAGCCTCCTGTATCTCCCCAACCTCTCACACACCCTAGGCTTCTGCTGTCCATGCCCTCTGTCACTGCAAGGCAGTTGGATCCTCGTGACTGTCAGAGTGAAGCACAATGTGGCCCCACTGCTGCTTGGCCTAGAAGGGACCTCGAGGCCCTCCGGGCTGGTGCAATGGTGGAGCAGGGAGAAGGAATCACTGAGGGGGAAGCGGCAGAGAAGACCCCGGCCGGAGCTGCCGTGGCAGCTCAGCTCAGAGCTCGTGTCAGGACAGGGACAGACTCGCGGCTCTCCCTGCGCCAGGGAGGATTCAGGGGCAGGTGCTGAGCGGCAGCAAGAGGAGGAGCTGGCTTTACCCTGCAGGACGTTCTGTGGGACAGGTTCCATCCAGCTCCCAGAAGAGGCGGCAGGCCTTACTCTGCCACTTGCTTTCCACACACCTGGTCTCCAGCAGAGGAGGTGAATTTGGGAACTGCCACAACACACCAAGTCATTCACACACAAAGGCACTGGAAATGCACTAACAACAGCAATCAAGACTTCCAGGGGAACCAGCAGACCCTCAGGCAACCCAACCCGCTGCCCTTCCAGCAACTCTGGAAACTCAACACAGCGCTCCCGAACCTGCCCCAGCTTCCCGAGAGCTGCCTGCCTCCAGCTGCAACAATCTTGACCCTGCTAAAGCATCTCCTGCTTTACTCTGCATCCACAAAAGCCCAAAGGGGATAGACGCTCCCTAAGATATTACCACGTCTTGGCTGCAGGCAGCACCACCACCACCACCAGTCGACGTTGCCACTGCAGGGCTCCAGACGTACCCATGGATTTTGCGGAGAGGACATAACTCTTGGTTGGGCTGCTAAGAATCCCTGCTGCTGGTTTGCCAATGCCACAGGACATGGTTTTGGGGGAGCTTGGCAAGCCATTCCTTGATTTCCTGCCCAGCAAAACTGCTATAACATTTTAGTAGAAAAAGTAATTAGAAAAACACAATAAAATTGGCCAAGTAGTTTAACATGGCTGTTACTGGTGTATTAAATATCATATTAAATATCACTGTAACCTCAAGAGAGGTTGCAGCTCCAGGCACTACAAAAGAGAGCAACGTCTCCCAGAAGAGCTGTGAATGTGCAAAAGTTGAAACTGGCCCCAGCATCTTTGCTGGCTGCTCTATACCCTGAACCACAAATGTTCTCATATCCCTGTACTGCAGATGGGTGTGAGGTGCACGGAGCCACGCGGGACGTGGGCTCTTCCCGTCTCGCTGCATGGGGCGCGGGCACTGCGGAGCCGCACAGCAGCGCTGGGAATGCTTCCAGGATCACACGCTCCCCAGGCTCTCACGCTGATTCAACAGTAGCCGCAAGCCTTCGAGGCTGTTCTTAGGAAGCACTTTTCTTAAAGGGTTTCCCACCAAACCAACAGCAATATCCATCTACACCCACGGAATCCACACTTCAACTCTTTGCTCGGCTTCCCTGCTTCTTCTCCTAGGAACTCCATATGCAACTATTTTGCCCGACTAAAACCTTGTGCGTCGCTTCCCAAGTCTTTCCTACTGCCCAGTACAAACGTTCCCAGCCTCGGCCACTTCCACAGAAGCTGCAGTGGATCCTTGGCCTTTGCCAGAGCTGTAAATACAACAGACACTGACAGTTTCAAACATGACGGGTGTTGCTGAGCCTCCCTGCGGCACGCGGTGCAGCTGCCCCGCAGTCACGTCCCCGCACAAGACTCTGCACTGAGCTGGCAGCAGCGGGGCACGGGCACAATGCGGTGCAAGCGGATGTGCAATACAACGCGCTTTCAAAAACAAACAGAAACAAGCAAAAAAACCCCAAATTTCCAAGCTCCACAAGAGCAAGCACTAAATCAGCAACTTCCTTCCCATTTCCTCTTCTGTTATAAAGTTGCTTGCTTACCTCCCTAACACATCTCTCTCCTCACGGTCTGTTAATTTGCTTAGAATGATTTTTAATGATTTCTATAAAACCGTTTAGAATAAAGTGAATTAAAACAAAAACCCAGAAAAAAGTGAAAATAAAAATGTCAAAACAAATAGAAATCAAGGACATTTATTTCCATCAACAAAAATACAGAATACAAAATGACACTTGTCCCACCCTCCTGAGGGACTAAGGACAGGCATGGGGCGTTGCAACCCTAAGCAAAAGCCTCCCTGCTAATTCATAAGGACCTCCATTTGCACCAGTCTTGCGTTTGTGTCTCCGGATGTTCTGTAAGGGATCATTCCAGCAAACGTTATCAGGGCCCGAGCTTGAGATCGAAGTTGCTAAAAAACATTAAAAAAACAAAACCAAAAACATATCTGTTACTTTAGTATCTCAGAAACTGAACCAAATTGAGTGAGGTATGTGTTAAACAAGGAAATATGATATTTGTTTTTCAAAGCTGCTC